CTAATATGCTTTAAACGATCAAACAATTCATCACCTGTTGAGGTACGGTGAAAGAGATCATTCTGTAATTCAAGGTTGTTTTATCATAATTTCTTTATCAACTTCCAATCTCAATATTTCTTTCTCAGCTTCAATTTCTTTGAGCCGAAATTGTCTCTCGTTTTCTTTCTTTCTCTTTTTTCTGCTTCAATTCTCAATCTTTCTGCTTCCATTTCTCTAAGCCGAATTTTGTTTTCCATATTTTCAATCTCTTTAAAGCCAATACATCATGTTTTTCTTCAATTAAAGTCGTGATGAACGCCAAAAGGTCATCAGCAGGTTTCAGATTGGTAGAACTCAGGGAGAGGCAGCCAATATGTCCAATTGATGTGTCTCAGTCTGTTATTTGCAGACTTTTAAACAGGCTTCTGTAGACACAAAAGTTGAATGATCGGCCTCGCACGAGTTGTCCTAGGTGAGATCAACAACACAACTCGATTACTAAAAACACAGGCTTCAAGAAATCCAGTCTAAACAGCCAATCAAATCGTTGTTCACTTGCGCCAGGCCACTGGACGCAGCTAATCGGCGGTGTCTATTCGCACGATATCGTGTACATAAAGAGTACATATTCCACAATGTACACGATATCGTGTAAATAACAGACAATTTATCACAATATGCACGATATCGTGTAAATAACAGACAATTTATCACAATATGCACAATATCGTGTAAATAACAGAACTTTAACCATAATATGCACGATATCGTGTAAATAATTAAACATTAACCATAATATGCACGCTATCGTGGGAATAACAGCACACGATACTCACACGTTATGGTATCACGGGTTATATTATTCGATCTATCAGCAGCGATTACGAACATTATATGAACTCGCTAAATACATATATATATATGTGTGTGTGTGTGTGTTTGCGGTTTATAGGCCTAGTATCTACACAGATCAACACATCGATCTCGGCATTTGCGCAAGTGTTAGAACCCACAACACTGGTTTTTAATAATACTCGTTGATAAAATCGAATATAATAAATATTAAAAGAATTTACACATCTTATTTACTGGGTATATTTTACATTATATTAAATGATAATTTATATGCCTCGTTAAAATGTAGACATTAATTGCGCAAAAAGTCGTGTTTGCTTTTTCCACGGCGATAGATGTGTGGCAACCCTGTCATATTGTCCTCAGTACGCAATAACCTACAATACTGTGTACGCATGCTAAGAAATAAATACCTAAATAACATATCAGAGTTGCCCTATTCAATTCTAATCAGAACGGTTTATGTATTCATATATCTGATGACTGATTATTGGTTTAAAGTTCCAAATACAAATTTTAATATTGTTCTTAATTGAAATTTTTACATATTGGTGTCCTATTAAATCAAAATGCGATATTTTCGCATTCAAATTATGATCAGTCGTTAAACATTTTGTCCATCTTTGGTGTTAAAATGATTAATGTTATTTTTTTGTTTAAAACACATGTAATGGTTCTTCCGTTGAATCTATAAATGGCAGCGGTTACTTACAGATGCATTTGCATGTATATGAATATTTTACGTCCGTTTCAGTCACTATCTGTCACATACTTTTTGTCAAATGAAGATGTTTGTAACAGGGGGTGGGGGATCCTAACATGTTTTTTTGGTAACGAGGGTGGACGCCGATGGGGGTAGGGGGTGTAACTAGTATTGTGTCCCAAACGATAACATATATAGGTAAAAGGTTTGCTGTCTTTCTGTTGGTGTGGGTGTACAATCTTTTCATATTATTTCTCATTCATACTGATTTACACAAGTTTTCGGTCAACACACTGGTGCACTAATACATCTTAACTAACGAGCTTACCATGTCATCATGTTCTGAAGGAGAAAAACTGTCAGTTTAAGACGATTGGCATAGTATATATTAACAAAATTAAGAAAAAGAAAAATCACACAAGACAGATATATTAACTAAGGAATTATTTGTTATGGATATGTAAGAAGTGATTCGTTGAAATGGTTCAATGAGTATTTTGTAATTGCGTTAATCCAAACACGTATACACCATCAACAATCTTTTAAAATATCTGTTTTTGACAAGCTGAAGAAACTCCCCAAATTTTAGTAAATCATTCACACGTCTTCAAACTGCATGCAACATATAATTCAACAAGTGCTTCCTGCGCCTATGCTGGGAGCAAGCGTGTCTGTGATTCTCTTAAAAAAACTTTTTGTTGGTTGGTAGACACAGGTGTTTGGTTGATTGTCAACTGATATGTCATACTAAGTTACATGTATATGTTGTTTATTATGACGATATTTCGACAGAATTCTCACAGCTGAACTATTTGTAAAAATTCAGCGTTAGTTTCGAGGATTAAAAAATGACTTTTACAGAGTCAATTGTTTTATACTGATAATAGTAACATTTCGTGCTAGTAAAATCCATATACGGTAAGTAATGGAACGTTTTTTAGGGCTACTTGAGTGTGCAGGGTGACTGATTGGTAGTCAGCAGATACTTGTTATGGTGTATTGTTTGTTGTTGAATTCTGCTATTTCTGCATGCTCGGTGACCAGGGTAGCCCAGCAGGCACAACAATCAGTTTGAACATAACAACCATGTCAACGTTGAAACAGTGTCATTTGCGTGCTGGGAGCGTAGTGTTTCCCTGCAGGTTCTCCAAATGACGGTTCATAGCGTTAAATATGCGACTTATAGTTGTATGGAGTAGTTAGATGAATATGTACCCTTTCGGCCTGGACAGCATGGCCACAAGGATTTGTTTCTGTAAAACTTCATGCGAAATAACTTCTTTTCAGTGTTTCCTGGAATATACATGTTTTCTAGATCGCAGATCAAGAAGTAGGTGAATGAATATGGATACACGCTGAGCCTGACGGTGTTGCTGTGGGAACGGGGAGACTGGGCTGTGCGCATTGCATTGTTCACATGTGGAAAATCACATTAGGGTCTTTGAAATAACAGCTTTAGTCTAGATCACCCACCGGCATTCAATATACAGTAGATAACAACTAACTACTTACTGAGAACCAGGCATACTCACCCGTAAGACAGACGCACGGGGCCAGCCAGCTGGAGATGTCACGATCTGTAATTGTTATCCAAACTTTGCAGAATGATGCAGAAATGAATTTCGAGGAAAAGGCTGTGTCACGTAACTTGATCACAATTATCCGTGATCTACGTTTCGTTTTATTTCTGATTTTACAAAGCAAGCATTCTCCAAGAATGATGACCTGTGAGTAACTGTTGTGAGAGATCAGTGCAACATACGTTGTGTCCTGGTGTTACCCACACTCACTATCACAAATGCTTGTCGTAAGAGGCGACTAACGGGATCGGGTGGTCGGGCTTGCTGACTTGGTTGATGCATGTCATCGATCCCAATTGCGTGGATCGATGCTCATGATAATAATCACTGGATTGTCTGGTCCAGACTAGATTATTTACAGACCGCCGTCATATAGCTGGAATATTGCTGAGTGCGGCGTTAAACAACCAACCAGTGGTCTAGCTCTATAAAATCGTCCAGACTAATGCGAACATACACACACACACACACACACACACACACCTCGCTATATGAGTGCAATAATCTTGGACATGTTCTATTTGACAGAGATCTAAAGAAACAGCCGGCCATGGTAGTACAGCTATGTTATGCTGCCTCAAAACATGTTAGAACCGGTGCAAGTGCAACTTGTGGGCTGGCATTATCATTCTGCAGTAAACTTGCACAAAGTGATCTAGAAAGGATATCGTCCCAGCAGTGTATTCCATTCCAATCCCAATAAGTTGTGATGCCACCATTACACTCCATGGCAGCGATTCCGCAGATGCACCAACCAAATATGTTGTCTTGACGCGACGTCACACGTGTACGAATTGGAGCAAGCCGTGGCATTGTGTGTTGATGAGCACTTGACAGCTGAACAATCATTGCATGCAGTTCACATTAAATAAATACCTCTGTGAGTATCAGGCACCAAACAAACACGCAAATATCCAAATTGTTCGCTGTGAATGAACAAGCACGTGCAAATTGTGAATCACGGCCTTGAAGTCAAGGAGGTGTCTTCATAGATATATATTGAAAGATGCATTATTTAATTTAAGAAAAATTCATTTTTATTGAACTTAATATTAAGCAAAGTAACTTTTTCCGCTAGTATATGTTGAGACGACCCCAATCGTAATGATCGTGCATGTCCATAGTTTCATTGATACACATGTTGTCATTGTTTTCAGACATATAATCAACTGCTCTCACCTTCTGTTTGTCACGTCCAAGATTATTGCACTTATATAGCGACGTACATGCATATGGGTGAGTGTAATGCAATACATGCAAATGTAAGATTTTACTGTTTCTGAAATTCTTGTTGATTATAACGTGAACCATATTACTTTCCTCAAATGAGTGTTGATATGAAAGTTCAGTCAATACGTGGAAATAAGGTTGAGGTTGAAATAATTGGTTTTGCAAATGAACATATGTAAATTGTTATTACAGTGTTAATGGCCAAGTCAGAGAATCAAATCATTTCATATTTGCCTAAAAACAACCATTATTACTCATCTGACATTAACAAACCTTGCTTCTACAACAATCACTAATAATACAGCCCTTGTGACATGCTGCTTGTCTCTCACTGGTGACTGGGGAGTTTGGTTTACCCCTTCCTTTAGTATTTCAGTAATGTCACGTGTGTCACCTGATTGCGGGATGTTTTTACCACTGGCATTGGGATGGTGCCGACAAGCCATGAATCACAATCAGTGCAAATCTGGGGTTTGGACCTATAATCCTCTGATTCCTTCTTGCCCAACGGATGCCTAACTGTACACGGTGAAATGTACCAGCTTACATGACTGATGTCCACGTCTCCTGGCCTCACCATACATGGCAGTACAAGGGGACCTCCGGTCCTCCGGCTGCCAGATTCACTTGTATTCACACCACACAACAGCATATGTTCAGTATTTATTGGACGGAATATTACATTTTGTACAAAGTACAAAGTATTCATCTTAAATAATACAATTTTGTATTTGAAACCCAAGTGTATCCCCCAATATTGAATTACCTCAATGACTAAGAATTTCATTGATATCATTAAACATTGTTTTTAATGGATCCTTCAATGAGAAATAGCATTGTCATACTTTTATGTCAAAGAGATGTCAACATAATATATTCGATTTGGTTTGAATCTGATTAATAAAATTAGCATGTACCTTTAACCAATAGTTTTTCAGTTGAGTAAGTAAACTTAGTCATTACTATTATCCTGCATGCACAGTATGATCTATCAAATGTTAACAGACTTTGTTTGACTGCACAATCCCGCCATTCAGGTTTTCTATACTGGGTTAAAAATAATGTACAGATTAACTGACACACAACTGCAAATACACAACTGCAAATACATGACTGTAGAGAGTGAACTTTAGTACATTCCATAGTGTTACTATGCAGTGAACTTTTACACCTGTGCAAAACAAATTTTTACTGCTATGTTGTGTCCATCTCTTCTCCACAAGCAAGAAAAGCAAAACAGTAAACATCACTGTCAACTCAGGAAAAATAGCAAAAGCCACGATTAACATAAAACTTAACATGTGTAAGAGTCAGCGATGCTGTGGAAACAATGGAGTTCAACATAGGAACTTTTCATATGAAATAAATAATGAGTTTCACGAAGAATGGTACCATTTTTTCTGTTTATTTTAAAGTCACATTGTTATTAAATAGTATGTTTCTTTACGAACATAAATATAATGACAGTAAAAACTGGACGGAAATGCCTGACATCCCACATTACATTCTTCATCACTGATTCAGTCATCAACTTCATCATCTTCATCGCCAGTGTTGAAAAACACTAAAGCCATACGTAAATAAATGTCATAATTTGGCTTCTTAGATAGTTCATAACAATCATAAACTTTGTAGAACTGTCTCAACAAGTACAAGTGTCAATATCGGTATCTATTTCATATGATCATTATTCTATAAGGGATGGAACAGTTTCCTTGTAAATATGGAATGTTTCTATCAACAAAGGATGTATTTACAAGAATCACAGGTGATACAGCAAACACACACACACACATTGGAATGTTTCATAGAAATAAATATATTCTTGTATATACAATTACTTTTCGGATAAGAAACTGATAGAAGAGCAACACAGCAATACCAAAGAGTCTTAACATTAACATGATTAAAGCATAGAACTCTCCCAATTGGTAAAACATGATAATCTTGTCCTGCAGAAATCGCTGATGAACCTGAAACTCGGTGCCTGTCCTTACACATAGGGTTATTGAGCCAGAGATACTTAAAGGCTAACGACTTCCTCGTGGATGTATCTCAGCATGTATAAAGGTATTTAGGTAAGACTAGAAGGATATTTCTGAGAAGAGAATAGAACTTTGGTGGTGTTGATACAAAAACCCCATGTACACTAAGATAGTGAGGTAAACAGTCTTCTTCATGTCTTCATTTTCTGGTTACTCTGCCCTGGCTTGTAATGACCTCTCAATTGGTAAGGAACTTACAGTGCAGATTCATAAGGAGATAACACAGGCACATGTCAAATAGGCTAACATGCTCTGTGATGAGGACTGTGATTATGCATATTGACTCCCCAAACTAATTGTTTTTGTGACTCAACAATATTTCTGTCAACTGTCATGCAAAGAATAAAATACTGGCAAACATCACAGGTTACAGAATAAAAAAGCGGACGGAAAGAGGCACACAGATGTGCATAGCTATGCCCAATTAGGAGAACACAGAGCCTTTGGGAAACACGTGGGGAACCACCTTACATCACAAACAATTACGGGTAGTGTAACCAACTCAACTTGATCTTCCTAAGGTATACTGACAGTTTCTACACACCTTACAAATGCACTTCAAGATTGAGTTCTGTCATTAGACTAGTCATTTAATGCAAATTGTACACAATGTTTCATCAATTCACAGGCAAGTCATCAAGTAGTTCCACCATTATGTACTATCAGTATTAAGGATACAGCCAACTCTATCACAAGCTTATACAATGGACTATAGGTTGACCTCCCATCATAACAATATCGTAGTTTTGTACACACAACAGATAACTAACCTTTCTTAATACTCTTCACATCATGCAGGGATCATCCTGTGGGGTTTATACAAATACATGTGTAACAAATATATGCTCAGAAATGTTTCTCTTCAACCAATTCTATACATTTGACACTTCAACAATAAAACTTTGCTATCACAAATTGAGGTACTAAGAAAGTGATTTCCTTATTGTTGAAACTCTTCCCAATCATCCTAGTGTGTATAATGTTCCGGGATTTCACTCACACTCCACCGACTAGTACACCACATTCAACTCATGCTAATACATTCGTAGCTCAGCCACCAGATGCCTATCACCCTGGCGCTTCCAAAGGTTCAAAGCAGGACTGATGGATCTCTATCCTCTTCAACAGCTGTGATGCAACAGGACAGAAGTCAGCCTCCCATGTTTCACACAGGTAGTCCTTCAAATCCTCATCTACTTCATCCTTCAGAGATGCTTCTAAAGCTGTTTCCCTATCTGAAAGCAGTGAGAGAAGAATACCGTGATAACATTGCCCATGCAACTCCGGATGAATCCTTGATGACAAATGTAGTATGTGAACACTGCATCAGCAATTCTGTAGCTCTTTACTGAAATATCTCCACATGTGCAGCCTGATATTTTCACATTGCAACAGCCATCTTGGGATGTATTCAACATATGTCATAAACACAGGTAACATGCTTTTCAGTCCATCAACTGTTATTGGAGATAAGCCTTACATCATGGGCTTTCCTTTGATGTCAGAAATGTTTCAGCCATCACTGAGCTCGTTCATAAGCATAGGGAGTGAAGTGAAAGCAAGTCATGTGTAAGAAAGATGACTCACCCAGATACTCTACCAGCACATCGACAAGATCCTGTGCCTCTGCTTCACCGAAGCATGAGTTTGTACTTGTGATCTTGGTGCTGTAGTTACACAACACCTTACAAACAACACTGCCCAGTTGCCAGTCCTCACGCCCAAAGTCTCGCAACACTTCAGTCAATCTGAAACATGTCCACAGTGTCAATAGTAACTCCCATACATGACAACTACTCTATAATAAGTACTCTTTAATGATGATATGGATACTGTGAAATGGTCAGCCCAAATAAGTATGTGAACTGAGACTGAAGGACCTGACAGTCACAGAGTAAGTGAGTTGTTCAATGCCATAGTCCACAACATCCATCTTTGATCTATTTTGCACTAGATTCCAAAAGAGTTATAATAAGGAAAATGATTTGCAGATGCCTACTTGAATAGATGCAAGACGTATTAAGCACAATAAAGTTCCTATCTTAATGTCATACTTTACACCATAAGTACTCCAAATGTCTCTGAAAACACTTGAAATATTAAAGCAGGCATAGAAATTAACCAAGCAAGTCTGCTAGCATAGTGATAACACATAGCGATAACCATTAAAATGTTTGAAATTCTACTAGCCCTTAGAATACCTTTAACGTTACCAAAACTGGTCTGGGCTAGCAGGCTTGGGCTAAATTATATCCCTGAAGCATGAAGAATTTTTAGAATTGAATAGACTGACTTGCAGGAATACACTGTTGCTTAGATAACTCACTTTTTTATGCCACCTTCTTTCTTGAGAAGAGGTCGCTTATCTTCATCAGCCATGAAGTTGATGAGAACGCCACATGCAATGAACACCAGCTCTCTGTTCCCTGAGTCCAGCAAGGTGATCATGATCTCATCAACTGAAACAGATTCACCAGATTACAGTACAGTTTCTACTTGAAACATCAGTAGTACCATTTCCTTGTGAACTGAAACAACCTGTATATATATCTGTTAAGGTATAACATCATCTGTTTTTTGGTAACAGTGGATCAAATTTAAAACAGCTTTGAATTAAATGCTTCACAAATCTTGCATACAAATACTGATTGTCCCATTGACAAAATGGGAAGAAACCATCTAACAATGCTGACAAACCCTGGGAACTATTAAGCCATACACTAACAGATCTTAAAGTCTCACTCACCTTTCTGTCTGGAGAGAAGGTCTCGAACAGTCCTCTGTCTGGTCAGATTGCCAAACACTCGCGAAGCTTCTAACATGGCCTCCATGTTGTCTGTCATCACCAGTTTCAATAAGACTGAAGTGAAACAAGACTTTTAATCAGAATACCAATACAGATCAGACACAAACAGATCCCTGCTAATGAGTGAGTTTAACAGCACTTATAATAATAGTTCAGTTATATCACAGTATGTCATCATAATGTGGGAGCAAAGCCCCAAGTGATGCAGGCCTTACACAGGGATGGTGCTGCCAAATCTAAAAACAAAACAGTGGCCAGTGTGTCCTGCTGAAACACTGAACACCTTAAACCTGCCCCTGTGCACATTCAACTGTTAACTGAACACCTTAAACCTGCCCCTGTGCACATTCAACTGTTAACTGAACACCTTAAACCCACCCCTGTGCACATTCAACTGTTAACTGAACACCTTAAACCCACCCCTGTGCACATTCAACTGTTAACTGAACACCTTAAACCCAGCCCTGTGCACATTCAACTGTTAACTGAACACCTTAAACCCACCCCTGTGCACATTCAACTGTTAACTGAACACCTTAAACCCACCCCTGTGCACATTCAACTGTTAACTGAACACCTTAAACCTGCCCCTGTGCACATTCAACTGTTAACTGAACACCTTAAACCCACCCCTGTGCACATTCAACTGTTAACTGAACACCTTAAACCCACCCCTGTGCACATTCAACTGTTAACTGAACACCTTAAACCCAGCCCTGTGCACATTCAACTGTTAACTGAACACCTTAAACCTACCCCTGTGCACATTCAACTGTTAACTGAACACCTTAAACCTGCCCCTGTGCACATTCAACTGTTAACTGAACACCTTAAACCCACCCCTGTGCACATTCAACTGTTAACTGAACACTTTAAACCTGCCCCTGTGCCTATTGAACCACCAATGGTCTGGAGACGTCCAAAGCAGTAAAATGATACTGCTCTACAATGAACTGTAAAATGACTGGTAATCAGTGACAAGTAGGTCACTCACCCTGAGCTACAGTGTTCTGGTGGGCTGTGATGGCGCTGGTCTTGGTGGTGTAGTATGAAAGGTTGTTGATTGTAGCCACCGTGTTAAGAATCAGCTCCTCGCTGCTTCCAATATCTTTAGAATCTGAAGAAATACAATTTCATCATTGCTTTCCCCTAAACACAAATAGACCGTACACATAATGCATGTATTATTGCTGCCAGACTTAATAAGTTTCAAAACAACATTTCATGGAAATGAATTTATACATTGCCCCCCCCCACCTCAATGTTTTCCTAATATTTGGATTTTATAGAATTGAACAAGTTAAAGTTTTCTTAAACAACTGCTATATTATTCAGACTTCCAATTAATAGTTGATATGACATCAGTGAATGAATTCTACTGATATTCTAGTCACTGTAATCACACACCTAGAATTGCTAGCAAAAGTTGTACACATTCCACATGTGAAGCTATGATTGGCCCAACAGAATCATTGATGGACAAGTTGGCGATTACTCGAATGACTTTGATCAGAACGTCATCTATTGTGTTGACAGCACCATCCCCATCATTATTGTTGTGTCTGCCATTTGTGGTAACATTCTCAGGCTTTGACCTTTTCTGAAAGAAGAAAATCAGTTTTAATTAGTTTTAATCAGTGTGTGAAAAGCAGACATAATCATAACGCAAAGCTGTCATTGACTGTCAGTATCTGATTCTGGCACCAGGTGATGATCAACAACAGTGTTGCATCTTGACGGTGTGTGCAAGATGTGGCCCCTGGCATGAGGGTTGCTTGGTGAAAACAGGCAAGACAGCTTCCCTGAGTCAGTACTTTCATGCTGGTCCAGCAATTCATGACGAGGATGTTTTAATGTTTAATTAATTCATATGTTTTACTTAGTAACTGTTAGATTGTGTCACAGAAACTATATTTACTGCATATCAGCATTCTGTTCACTTCACTTGGTATTTGGAGTACAGGCTAATTTCAGCTTTGTGCATTCCTTACTTTTCTTTATTGGAGGTTAAAACACATGTACATGTACACAGAAAAGCATATTTTGATTCAATTAAAAAATGCTAGGGTGCATTACCATAAGCTAATAAATTTTAAATGATTCAAACCACAGAAAAACTATTATGAAAGACGTAAAGCTGATCAATTCATTTTCATTCCAAATTAATCCACATATTACTTCTAAACTTGTCAATCAAGGTTGTTCCTGAAAGGTATTTACCTGAGACTCCAGGTTGTGGAATGTTTTTAATACTGAAAGCAGGGTGGGCATGGCATTAGTTTCCTGGAACAGTCTTCTCCTTGCATCATCGTTCTTGGCTGTGATATTCCCCAGAACAAAACACACTCTCACGACCACGTCCTGCAACATCATGCAGCAATACACCAAAGAGATCAACATAGACAGAGACAACCATCTTCACGAGGCAAGAGAGTTAGCTGACTTTGAAAGTGCAGTTTCCGCCCTTGCCAAACTAGGCTGGAATTCCTGGGCTCGATTGTAGCACCACCAGTGGTTATTACGAGTTATGTTCCTTCTAAACCTCTCCTATGGACCAATCTGATTCCATCACTTGCATTTGTTTCAATTAAAATGGCAGTGCCCTGTCAAGACGATCTGATCTATAATCAAGATCTAAAACGGGTCTTACAATGTGAAGTGCATCAAATCACGCGAGCACCTTGATTAAAAACATGAAAAGGTTTGGAAAATATCTGTTGACAATGAGTTGGTGGTGCAAAGGCTTTGCAAATCCTGCAATCGACCGAAATCTGCACAATAGTTTACAAACCGGATTTCGATTTCGCTGCAAGATTTTGATTGGACTATGCATAGACTCATTAGTCCAGCGAAAATGTAACTCCATAATACCAGCCTAGTTCGGCAAGGATAGAAACTGAACTTTTATTGTCAGTTAACTCTCTTGCCTCGGGAAGATGAGAGACAACGAGCAGGTGAAGGAACTCTCCAGGAGCCAGTCTAAACACCTTGAATTACTAAGTTCATTATTTGAAACTTCTCTCAGTCTATTTCAGCAAGATTCAAGTTGTCTTATTTCCCAACTACATGATTGTTTGTTTGTGTAAGTGAAACTGGTTGCACATTACATGAAAACTACAAAAGTGTTTACACATATTTGCAAAAACAGAAACAGCCTCTTTACTATCATGTCCAGAAGGCCCCAGAAATCATAACATACAACCAAGAATTTCCAGTCCGATAACAGGTGTCACCCCAATGAAGGGTTTGTTCAGTACACAAAGAACCTTGAGGATGACCTTGACCTTTGACATGGCCAATCAATGTTCACAAATTTTTATGATATGTATGTACACGACATCCCCCAGAAGTACTCGAACATATGGTTTCAAAGTGTGGAAACTGTGGCAGTCAATTCTGACATGTTAAGCACCCCCATTTACATGGGTCAATCAACTATATGAGCAAATCAGCTCCAAGCATTCATACTTTTTATAATGGATGCTTTGAATAAAGCACTGAATAATGTCAATGCTATGGATATTATGTTATGAAAGAAAATAATAATACAATTTGGGTTTGACTTTCGTTCTAACATGACAGAAGAGAGATGACTGGGCCAGTAAAGTGTACTAGTTCCCACAGTAATGTTGAGCTTGGGCAGGTAATGTTATTGCAATACTATCAATGTAAGAAAAATAAGAGATTGATAATCCTCATTCCCAATACTACATATCAAGCGTCAGTGTTACCTCCTTGTTGACATGTCTGTTGAGCAAATGAATGAAAGACTTGTAGCAGGAATGTTCATTGGCCAAAACTGTGCAGCAGTCCGTATGGAGCGTCACTTTACTGAAAGCAAACACAGCATTGTCACTACACAGACATCTCATATGAGGGTAGTGTTGCAGATGCAATTTCTTATCAAACTTTTGGAGTCATGGAGAATGGCATTTGCGATAAGAGATTTTATTTTTGCTTTTAATAAAATCTAAATAGCTTTTGTATACTTATCTGTATTACTCCTTAATGCATTTACTTCTTACTTTTGACAGAAACGAAGCTGTGTGCAGACCAGCGGAAGAAAAAGTTGTTCCAACCAGTTGTGAAGCCGACCCTCTTACAGCTGCCACGTGATCAAACGCAAGTGATGATGTCATGAAATCTTTATATTACTGCTTGTCACATGTACTTTCGTCTGAAGGCAGCTCTGCGACAGCCGGGCGCTTAGTTGTACTTATGTGGGATAAGTATACAAATGATAAAAATATTTAGATTTTACCAAAGCTGTCCGTGGACAGTACGAGAGTATGAGGACGTCCCTGTTAAAAAACAACATGAGAAATTAGCGTGCTCTTTAGTTGAGAAACTGATTTACCAAGCCAACTGGTGGATCAAGTTTGGCGATCTTATATGCCTGAAGGATGATGGTGTTGCAGCTGACTTCTGTCGTGGAGATCTTGGAGACAGGAATACACACAGTCTTGGAGTGACTGATGTAAACTCGCAGTGTGCGAACAGGGCACAATAGGAGTTCCTCCTTTTCTTCAGATTCCACAAACAAGATAAAGGTGGGATGGCAAAGGGCCAGTCGGGCTGTCCTGATAGTTGATTCTTGGTAAGGAAATCCCAGCACTGCCTGAGGTTTACCTTGCTCAAAGCGTACAAGGCTAATGTTAAGAGCTTTAAGCTCACTAGCCCTTGCCACTGTCGCCAGTGTTAATAAGAAGAACGTCTTCTTGGTGAGGTCATAAAATGATGTAGAGTAGAGATGCTCTAACAGGGGAAGCATGCAACAACAGAAGTACCACATTTAAATCCCATGCAGGAGTGCAGAAGGCAGAAGCCTGGAGTTCCAGGATCTTGGTCATCTTCCAATCTTCTGGAACTGCAAACACTGAATTAGAGCCACCAGATAACAAGGCGTGATCAAAATCGTGGCTCTTGTTTGCCCTAAACTTCTGCATCACCTTGGGAAGAAGTACTGTAGGGTGAAAATTGTAAGGTGATCATTTCAATCTCCTGGGCATCGTATAAGCGCTCTCGTTCTTATATCAAGGTGACAATGAAGGGTGGTGCCTCCTTACCCCGCATGAAGGCATCGGATCCAGTGGTTGCAGCATTATGTACAAGTGAGCATGGAAACCAAATTGTCGGATACACTGCACGGCTAACAATAGGTCAACTGACCTAATTCTGGTTGACAGTCAGAGAGTTCTTGACACGTGACATTTAAATCACCTTGCGCAGTAACCTTGAATTCTGCATTCAGCCGTACGAGGTTCAAGCTCCACACACGGATAATCCACTGTGAACTGTGTGGTAGACAGACAAGTGATGTTCTTGAGTTCTGTGAAGAATGTGTGACGTGGCCAATGTAGGAGCAAGTTGTCCTGTCCTGTGAATGATGATCCCGAGTGGTGGGTACCCGGTCGCATATGATGGTTCTGTCAAATGTCTAATGGTCGTGAATTTGGGATGATCTTCAAGTTTTGGTACAGATCATGCCTACCAGAAGCCATAAGATACAAATTCTACAAGAGTACAAACGCCCTCTCTGTGAAATCGTTCAGCCAACGTTAAAGTACACCGATTAGACTGGGAGAATTGGCGGAGCTGCCAAAGGCCTAAGGGAGCGTCGGACCTCCACTGTATGAAAGCCAATCACATGTCCGACATCTGGACAGTCGTCGGCTTAGATAACCTCGTCATACGATGGTCGCAAACCTCTGTTGGAACATGGACTGCATAAAATCATGAATCCCTAATGGGTCCATATTGGGTGCTCTCGTATGCGGGTACGTGGGTGGCGCTGGTGGGAAAAAGGGTTGGCTTCACAACTGGTTTTCTTCAGCTGGATCTCACACAGCTTCATTTCTGTCAAAAGTAACCAGTAAGGAGTAATGCAGATAAGTAAACAATCAGCATCTTCAATGCATGGATGTAAAATAACCATGCCACAATTCCATGGCTAGGAAGAGCAATGTGCAATATGTAATGCAGAATAAGTGAAAAACATATGAGCAGTATGTATATTGTACAAATTGGATATTTTAGTATAAAATAATCACACTTTGCATTTCTCCCTTCTTTTTCGATCCTATGTGGGAATGTGCTTGAATTATGTTTCCAGCTTCTAAAACTAAAAATAGCCACCCAAGCCCCCCTGCATCTCCATGGTTACGTCCAAAAGCTAGGTCAATGACGTGCCTCTTGTGCACGCAGTGCCTGCTTGAACTGACCACGTGTGCGCCTCTACCAATTCATTCTCTCTCACAGAGCTTTATAAGGCTAGAGTAAATGAGATGCGGGCATTGTCGGGTGGGCCTATCGCGTGTGAGATAGGATAAGTATATAAATATACAATTTATACTAAAATTTCCAAATTTTTAAATGGTTGGATGGTGGGTCAGAGATACCCTAGCCTGTATAGACTACAACCGTGAGATATGCACGAGGAAGCTGGTTCTAGACAGTGTAATTTTGAATTTTGTTTCAGAATTTTGAAAAAATGTCTAGCGTCTAAAGACATGAACTCGTGAGCGGGGAAAAAATACACACGATCAATCAGTGTTTACGATCCCGAATACGTTACTCAAACGCATAACAGCATGAGATTGGGTATACATGCCAAACATTTTTTCCCGTATGTCATCGTACATATAGAACAAGCTCATAGCTGTCAACGCATAAGCGAAACGGCAGATGACTAGAAATCGATCCTAGAAGGGCATTGATTCTTCTAAAAAAAGTCTCTACAGATGAGCTAATCCACCCTCCAAAAGGGACTCAATCTGGGAAACCTGAACAATGAAAAAACATGTAATACCACGTAAACGTTTAATGATTTATTCTGTATATACAATTGTAACCCGCAAAGGATTACGAAGGATAACAGTTTATGTTCTGCGTGAACTGGGGCGAGACAGCTGTTGAGCCAATACCAACGAGCCAAACTTGTGGAGCCCTTGTACGTCTGTGACTGAAATGTCACGAAGTTAGTGGGACACAAACACAGTATCCGACTTCCAAAAACACCCTTCCATGATGGTTGAAAGGGTGCAGTTACTGTGGAGGGCCATGGTGGAAGCAACCGCACGAGTCTTGTGAGGATTGGACATTGTAGGTGGAGCGGCCCGGCGAAAGTATACATTCGCAGAATGATGGAACGTAGCCAGAAGGATAGCGTCGTCCGAGAAATTTGTAGACGGATATGACAATGGGAACGTCTGTGGAGGCGTGACGCATCGAGATATATTTGAAGCGCCCAAACCCGGAACAAGGAGAGGTCTTCAAGGTCGTTGGATCCCAAAAAAGCCGGAATTGTAAATAGCCGGTCCGGTTTCTAGTTTTAGAAGCTGGAAACCTGATTCAAGCATGTTCCGACATAGGATCGAAGAAGAAGGGAGAAACGCAAAGTGTGAGATAGGATAAGTTTAAAAATTATTATTTATTCTTCCAACTGTGGAAACTTTACAAAAGCCCTGCTTGTTAATTGAATTTATAAATATTTAACATGTTCAAATATAGTGCTTGGTGAATCACAAACAAAATACCTGTAGAAACTGCTTAGCTAAAGGCACAGTAACATTTGGAAGTGAACAACACAGCAAGAATAGGGACCTCCATGACTTCACTAATCCTTGAATAAATAACTAGTAACAGTTAGGGCTGAAACGATATCCCGGGACACCGATGCATCGCAATTCACTCCATACGATACGGTGTGCGATTTGTGAGGTGCTGTATCTCGATTTTTCACGATACGTTTTTTTCAAAGACGTATATATACGTACGTCTTTGTTTTTGTACATAAACTTTTATCACAGATACGTTTTAAATGTGTTTAAACTCTTTCAACACCGTAGGCACCAAGTCCTCAGGCACCGGCCAAGCCTTAGTCACATCAAAATAGTTTATATTTTTATGGACCGACCTGTCATACCATTCATTTATTAAATCTATCACATGTTACAATGTCTGAAATACGAATTCTATTTCAATTTATCATTTTTTATCGATAGATTCAAAGTTATTCACTATTTCCCGCAATGTTATTTAAAGTATAATCCACGGACGCACACTTCGACAACGGGTGCACATCGAACATGTCAAAGAGCAAAACAAAGACGTTTCAAGCAAATCTTTAAATATATTATACAAAGTGATAAATAAAATCAACAAAAATATATCTAAAAGTGGTCAAACTTACAGCTAAGTTATTATTTCCATCTTTTCGTGCGATCGCGTGAAATGATAGTCAAAGGACATCTCGGCTTTCGGTGCCTCGAATTCTCGGCTCGGACACGATGTTCAATGTCAAAATATATGCATGAAAAATCTTTGTCACAGCTTGTAACCTAGTATGATACGTCCACGAAGCTCAATATTTTTAATATAGATCGAGATTTCCTGCTTAAAACGTTCAGAATAACACGATTAAACCAAAATATTTCGTAAAAATCTGAAATTCATCGTACACGAGGATTTGTAATTTGATTGCCTGCCTCAGGTCACGTGCTCAAATTTGACCAATCATAAACCTTGTACCAGATTTCGGCAAGAAAGCGTCATTAGGAACCATTTTTTATCCAATGAAACTTTATGTTATACCTACGAAAAGACTCCAGGCAATGTTACGAGCGTGTAGATGAAACAACAAGCTATCTAGCGATGTGTCATATGTCAGTCTTCGACGAACGTGTTATTCATTCGAAGCCTCGAAAACAGTGGTATTTCTTCATGTTACTTAGCGGACAGCCGCTGTTATCTGGAAATGGGTGAAATCAGATACTATTCATAATTCTTTTTAAAATAATTTTCCAATTATGTAAATGAAAAAAGAAGAAGAAATAAGTAGATCTAGATCTTTTGAAATCTTATATTTGCCCCAAATCGTCAAATTTTCGCTTCCTTGGTCCTTAATCTGGATGTTATGAATGTGTTAGCTTACATTTTGTATATTTACAACGAACTTAATTAAGTTGTCAATGCATTATTTAAATAATGTTATAAACATAACTTTTATATTTATAAACACCAAGATTAGACCTTTCAAATGGTGTATAACATGGCTGTTGCTACAATTGTTTTTAATTGTTTTTTTTGCCTTTATACATGAAAATGGCAAATCATTAGTTACTGGACACTGGTACATTTAGTATTTACTCCTAGAATCTACTATCTAGTCACAACTCACAAATATGTAGAACTGTTACGTTGTGTTTGCTGGCCATTACATGGAAATGGCAGATGATTCATTAAGTTAAAGTACTCATTACAGTATATATTTTATGACTCATGAACATTCATTCACTTTCATTCAATTTTTCATTTTAATAAACTAAGTTTAATTCATTTATCTCTTTTCTTCTCTTGTCACTATGTGTATCGAGATACGTATCGAATCGGGATGTAAGTATCGAGACACGTATCGTATCGTGACCTAGGTGTATCGTTGCAGATCTAGTAACAGTCCACTAACAGGTCTTCTAATTCAGGTAGAATGTACTTTGTCAGAGCCCAAAATGAACATTTACAGTACTAAAATTGGCATTTAGACATGGGTTGCTCTCTCCAACTCCGAAGAATTCACTTGAAGCAAATGGATAGTATTTGTTTCCTAATATATGATTTTTTTTATCTTAAAAAGGTTTTATTCTTTCCCCGTGTCTTCATTGCAACAAGTATTCAAATTGGTCTGACCACAGATCAATTATCAAAGTAACTGGTAAAGTCAAATACACTGCATTCAAATAACAAATTTTGAGGATCAGCTCACAGCCACTTAAAAGAAGGGAGATCCAGGTTAGAATCGTTTTTCAGCAACCCAAGCTTACCGTAAAAGGTGACTATGCTTTTCGCAAGAGGTGACTAATGGGATCTTTCTTCATGCATTTCATCGTATCCCAAATGTGTAGATTGATTCTTATGATGTCAATCACTTGATTGTCTGGGGGGGGGGGGCACGAGTGGCCCAGTCGTCTAAGGCGCCACAATTCGCTGTGCAGAGTTGCGTCCCTTTGGCACGCCAGAAACCTATGATAGTGGGTTCCAATCCCGATTCACCCCGATCACATGTTTCTAGGTCTGTCAGCACCATACCCGTGCTTGTGGGTTTCACCGAAGTGGTAAATGTCTGAGACCTGCATCACTTCAGGCTTTCCTCCCACATTAAGCTGACACGCCGCGATATAACTGGAATATTGTTAAAAGTGGCATTAATTAAACTCAACTCACTCACTTGATTGTCTGGTCCAGATTTTATCATTTTCAAACATCTGTCATACAACTGGAATATTGCTCAGTGTGGCCTTAACCAACAGACAAACAAATACTTAAACAGTGTTTGCGTTGTGTTTCAAAATAACGGGGTCGCCTGTGACCCGGTAGCCGCGAGCGCCGTAGGCGCGAAGCTATCTAGGGGGGTTTGGTGGCATGCCCCCCCACGAAATTTTGTTAAATGTGGACCTGAAATGGTGTACTTTAGGCCATTCTGAGCATAAATAAGTGTGTGGTTAAAATCTTTAAGTCTCACTTTTTATGTGTGTACACAAGACATCTTTAAAATCTTCATAGATTAGCCACTTGACTTTTTCAACACCAGTCAACTAGAAGCTTTATCTGCTGTGACACCAAGTTCCCAGAGACTCTTGTGTGATAGATGAAGCAAACATTTATCAAGGAAAATATCTGCTTGTAAAACATTAGTCCTGCACCATGACTGTGGAATATATATATTTTGTGAAAACAACACCAATCTAGAAACGTATACAAAAGCAAGTGAAGCCAGTTCTAGCTAGGAAATCAGCAAAGGGGAAATTATATATTTATTTTTGGAGTCGAGAAGGGTATTGTGTAATATAAGATTTCATAGACTAAATGTTAGTCTAGTAAAACATATTTGCAACTACATGTTATACACCATTTGAAAGGTCTAATCCTACTGTTTATACATATTTATGTTTATCACATTATTTAAATAAAGCATTTACAACTTAAGTAAGTTGTAAATAAAGATGTAAGCTAACACATTCAAACGTCCAGATTGAGGACCAAGGAAGGGTAAATTTGACGATTTTTGTCAAATATAGACAAACATAAAATCCACTTACCTATTTCTTTTTTATTTCATTGTTTACCTGATCGGGAAAGTATTTTATAATTGTAAATAGTATCTGTCATCACCAATTTCTCGATACCTGCGGCTGTCAGTAACATTAAGAAATACGACCGTTTTCGAAGCTTCGTATTAGAAAGTTTATTTTTTCATCTACACTAACCTCGCCATGTCTTTTCGTCGCTGTAAGTTTGTCACGTGCTTTCTTGTCGATATCTGCTACGAGGGTGGTGATTGGTCAAACTAAGGCTGTCAATCAAATTACAGCAATGGCACATGTGTAATCAAAGATTTTGACGAAAGTTTTTTGTTATTCTTAACGTTTCAAGCAGGAAACTCGCGATCTATATTAAAAACATGGAACTTCGTGGATGTATCGTTCTAGGTTAGGAGCTGTGACACAGGTTTTTCAGGCATATTGGAAACATCGTATCTGAGCCGAGAAATCGAGGCAACGAAAGCCGAGATGTCATTTGATTTACATTATACGCGATCGCAGGAAAAGATTGAAATAATAACTTAGCTGTAATTTCGACAACTTATTGATATATTTTGGTTGATGTTATTTATTACTTTGTATACTAGATTTAAATATTTGTTTAAAACGTCTTTGTTTTGTTCTTTGACATGTTCGATGTGGACCGTTGTCGAAGTGTGTGTCCGTGAATTTTATTTTCAATAACATCGCGGGAAATAGTGAATCATTTAATCTTTCGATAAAAAATGATAAATTGAAATGGAATACGTATTTTAGACATTGTGAAATGTGATTGATTTAATAAATGAATGATATGACAGGTAGGTTCATAAGATTATATAGATCTACCCTTTATTTTGACGTGACTACGACATGGCTGGTCTACCGGCCTACGGTGTTGAAAGAGTATATTGGCTCTTCAAGCAAACTTTCTTGAAACCTATTTTTCTTTTGACAAAGTTTCGGGGATGCCATTTGGACTTTAGTCCTTGACATTGACAAAATACTGTTAACAAGGTCTGCGATTGGCTTATGTTTCTATTTCTGTTTTGTAAACCAATCAGCGATGCCATTACGGACACGACATGGAAGAGAAACGTCATCGGATACCTCTCAGTTTCCCGCCGAAATCTGTGGCTTGCACCGGAACCCCGCGAATATTGGATACACATTATCACATGAGTTTTGGGAGCAAGAGAAACACGAACACGAACAAAACAACAATAAGTTATGCCTGTTTTCAAAATAAAAAACGTGTAAAGGGACGCGTGAAGGTTGGGTTTTTTGCGTCCTATTTTTTTTCGGTGCGTATTTTTGTATATGGGACGCCATAAACGCAAACACTGCTTAAAACATCAGTCATTCCTGAGGTGTGGAATGTGTGGGGACGTCAGCTTACCTGAATATTCTGGATATGTAGAGTACCAGATCACAGTCATTGGGGTAGGCATCGAGAAGATGACTGAGGCTCTCTATGACCCCGGTCTGCAGGAACCGCTCCCTCCCTGACCCCACATCAGCCAGGTTACGCAGGGCTGCACACAGCTGCACACACAACAATGTCATAATGTCACAAAGGACTAGGTAGCAATACATGTATGTAGTTCCCTCTAAACCAATATGACTAGGCAGCTACATATAGCTCCCTCTAAACCAATATGACTAGGCAGCTACATATAGCTCCCTCTAAACCAATATGACTAGGCAGCTACATACAGTTCCCTCTAAACCAATATGACTAGATACGATGGATGGTGTTTCTATTTTTATTCAGTAAATCATCAAACAAACGTAAGGCTGAAGAAAGTAAGCTTGTTGCTTGGGTATTATTTTGACAAACACAAAACACATAGAAACATTCAGACAAAAATGCTTATAGACAAAATATGAAAATTCTAATATCAGATTAAAAAAGACACCATAGAAAAGATGTCAGAGAAGCAACTGTTTATTTCCATCTTAAATATCCTTTCACACTGTCAATAATTTAACTTTAATTACGTGAAGGAAACATAACCTATTCTGTTTTGGTAACAATTGCATAAACAAGTGCACACAACATCCTTCATCAAATGCCTTCAATATAACAAGAAAGCAATAATTTACCTGAACTAAAATATGTCCAAACTGGTCACTGACTCGTCCATTGTCTCGATTCTGATCAGAAAGAAATGTACATGTAAAGCAGAGAGACAGGAAGACAATGTTGGCATGAAGGGGAGGGTCAACAATCCTGTTGTCTAATTCAATGAAGAAGACAAAATGGTCCAACTAGTTTGAAAAAGACCCCTTAAATCAGTGAGAGATATTATCACGATGCTGTGAACAGATTACACGGCTGTTTGTTGATGTTACGCTTGATGATTAAAATCTACAGGTGAATATGAACTGACTGAAAGAATTACTTAAAGCAGCTATAGGTTTCCATAGCAACACAAACAAGTATTTGTCACAGAGTGACGAAATATCCCCCGCCATATACACCATAGTACCAAATATGAAGACAATCCAGCGATTAGTTCTTGAGATATTGTGGCAACACCGTTTTCCAACTCCAAAAACAGATTTGCCTGCTGTGACCTTGAAAATGGGGTCAAGCTCACCAAATCTGACAGGTGTATGCGGTGTCTGTATATACACTATAGTTCCAAATATGAAGACAATCCAGCAATTAGTTCTTGAGATATCGCGGCAACACCGTTTTCTAACTCCAAAAGCAGATTTGCCTGCTGTGACCTTGAAAATGGGGTCAAGGTCACCAAAACCGACTGGTGTCTGCGGTGTCTGTATATACACTATAGTTCCAAATATGAAGACAATCCAGTGTTTAGTTCTTGAGATATCGCGGCAACACCGTTTTCCAACTCTAAAAGCAGATTTGTCTGCTGTGACCTTGAAAATGGGATCAAGGTCACCAAAACCGACTGGTGTCTGCGGAGTCTGTATATACACCATAGTTCCAAATATGAAGACAATCCAGTGTTTAGTTCTTGAGATATCGCGGCAACACCGTTTTCCAACTCTAAAAGCAGATTTGTCTGCTGTGACCTTGAAAATGGGATCAAGGTCACCAAAACCGACTGGTGTCTGCGGAGTCTGTATATACACCATAGTTCCAAATATGAAGACAATCCAGTGTTTAGTTCTTGAGATATCGCGGCAACAAACAGGTGGGACGTACGGACGGACGGACGGACGTACGGACGGTCGTGAATACTATATCCCCCGCTTCGCGCTTTCGCGCGGCGGGGGATAACTACATACGCATAGAGTTCAATCCTTCAATGTTTAGAAGTCTGTCTAAATAGAATCATAAAAAAATCTCCGACAGTTTTAAAGAGTGCAGGAGATGGGTTTAACTCCTCTTTTCAACAGTATTTCAGTCACATCAGCTTAATGCTGGAAGTAGGCTTGAAATGATGTAGGTGATAGACTGCTACTGCTTTGAACAAAGCAAACACTGACGCTATTACTATAAGAGAGCTGAGACTTGGTCTTCCACAGTTGTCAACCACCTGATTACTGACCATACTGACCAGCCATTGCAACCACCTGATTACTGACCATACTGACCAGCCATTGCAACCACCTGATTACTGACCATACTGACCAGCCATTGCAACCACCTGATTACTGACCATACTGACCAGCCATTGCAACCACCTGATTACTGACCATACTGACCAGCCATTGCAACCACCTGATTTCCATCCTTGTCACCTCTCGTAACAAGCAAGGATGCTGTGGACCCCGGGGGGTTCAAGTTTGACTCAAAAGATACTGTGTGAAAAGTTTGCTATGCTCACAGTTTTCTCTATATTGTGCATGAGTCCAGCAAGCGTCTCTATACACTCCTTCTTGGCCAGCCTCTTCAGTATTGTTGGGTTTCCGGTAAGGAACTTGACGGCTCCCACACAGTAGATGAGAGCTTCACACGACGCCACATGGTCACTACTCTGTATTGTCTCTATCAGAAGATCTGAAATAACAAACATTTTTCATAATATCTCTGTCTTGAACATACAACAATTTCAACAAACTGGATAAGACAGAAGTACCTGCAAACATGAAGTGAACATATAGATAGAGTTATCCCCACTGGATCACAAACCGAGTCGACTGAGTGAGGCTACAAGCTATTATGCACTATTGTTTGAAAAATGTTGTCAAATGGGATTTGAATATAAAGGAGTGGATCAGATGTAACAAACGGAGTAAGTGACAAATATCTGAGTTAAAAGTCTGAGAAATGGTGGTGGTAGCCAAGCTGTACACATATCTCCGTGACATTTCTCCTCCATCACAGATAACTCACCTAGAACATTGCCTTCCAGGAACTCCTGGTCGTTCTTCTCATTACGGCTCACTTTAAACACCAACTTACACACATTCAACAGATTATTGCCTCCCACCTTAAACTGGAAAAGAAATTTGTCCATTAGGCTGTGACAAGTAAGCATGCAGAAAAACTTACTGTCACATGGTTTTGTTTGTTTGTTGTTTAATGCTGCATTCAGCAATATTCCAGCTATATGACGGCAGTCTGTAAACAATTGAGTCTGGACCAGACAATCCAGTGATGGATATCATGTACCAATCCACTCATTGGGATAAAATGACATGCATCAAGTCATCGAGCTGACCACCTCTTACGACAAGCATAGTCGCCTTTTCATGGCAAGCATGGGTTGCTGACGACCTATTTTAACCTGGATCTTCACGGGTCGAAACATGATTTTGCCTCAAAACATGTCCCTGTTACCAACTTTCTGTCAAACTAGCTACTATGAAAGTACCTCCCAGATGAAGCAAGCCTGCCTACTTAGATTCTAAAGAAGCAAATATTACAATCCTGTGAATCCTCTATGTGATGCTTAGTAAAGACAGCTTCGGACATTGGGAATACAGTACTTAAATCTACAGGAGAAACCTTGATATTTGTAGGCTATGCAAACAATTTTGCTTAAAATAAGTTACTGACACAATGCATTTTCCCCTAAAGTCAATGATATATTGTTGTATTTCAAATTTCCAAGCCATAATACTCGGAATTTTTTTTTCTAAAATACTGAATCCCCTATTATACTTCGGTGCGCACTATACTCAAGAAAATACAGTAATGCCATTGTGAATAAAAAAACAATTATTGAATTTACTATTGACTTAAACAATTGAACGATTAACAACACAGCATGGATTTTGACTGATACACAAATAAAACAAGAACACTTAAGTAAATCTTCTACACATGAGTGTCTGTCCCATATGTTACTTCAAATTAAGCCATAGCTAGTAACACACATCAAAAGGAACATGTACATCCTCATTTTGCTACCCTGTTTTGTCCATCAGGCCTTAATATTCCCACCCTGTTTCAAACATTACTGTTGACAGTATGGAGCTATGAGCAAGTCACTTACTGCCAGTATTAGCCTGGCTAACTTGAGCATGACTCTGGGTTCTTCCACATCCAGCAACTTGAAGATGGCCTTGAGTATGGAGGATCTCTGCTTGTAGCTCTTGGTCAGTTTTTTGTTGGTGTCCAGCACAGTGTACAGCTCCTCCGCCAGCTCCCCCAGCTTTTCATTGTCCCTGTCTACAACAGTGGGGAAACAAAATGTTCTTATAACTTGTGAACACTTGCTCTTGCCAACTTGTCTCCCCTTGGACTACAGAGTGGGTCAATAAAATGTTGTTACAACTTGTGAAGACTTACTCTTGCCAAGAGCTGACATCGCCTCAATGAGAGGGGCCACTTTGTCTGTGAAGAAGTTATCATCACCGACGTCAATTGAGTCTCTTTTCCCAGCACTGCCTGGAACATAAAAGGGAGGAAATCTGCATAAGTCTGAGACTGCCATTAGACTTGGACTTGTATGTAAGTCTGAGATCTCAATTAGACTTGGACTTGTATGTCAGTCTGAGATCTCCATTAGACTTGTATGTCAGTCTGAGATCTCCATTAAACTTGTATTTCAGTCTGAGATCTCCATTAAACTTGTATGTCAGTCTGAGATCTCCATTAAACTTGTATGTCAGTCTGAGATCTCCACTAAACTTGTATGTCAGTCTGAGATCTCCATTAAACTTGTATGTCAGTCTGAGATCTCCATTAGACTTGTATGTCAGTCTGAGATCTACATTAGACCTTTAAGACAGTTGGAGATCTGTGATGAGTGTACAAGATGGGAAACACACTGACCACTGCGACTCTTCCCTGCACTGCTGGACTTGCGTGAGCTGCCACTGCCCACCCTCTGTTCCCCGTCATGGGATCCACCACTGCAACAGTGAAGCTTGCAATAAGCTCCATGGATCACAAGAGGACTCCCCAATAGCAATTGATGGATTTACATAAATTAAAAACATCTAAGAAAGGACTGACCAAAGTTAATGTGTTTAAAGAGATACTTCTTCAAGGTCAGAATCATAACTTCTTTTCCTTCAAAGAGAAAAACATGTCATGCCACTGATAAAGAACAAAGAATTCATTTTTTTGGATAAATATTAATATTTTTCAGTCTTTATGATGACTGATTCAATTGGAAATAATACATGGATTTGGGTTAATGAAGACCGTAATTTACCATGTTCCAATGTTTCAAGGAATAGCTATATCCGCCAGTCAGCACTCACGTTCTGGGTGGACTGCTGACTCCCATGGAGCTGGACACCCGTGGGGCAGCTTCTTTCCCATCAGCCATGCCCCGCTCCTCTGGCAGCAGGGTCCTCTCCTTGGGCCCGCTACTCACACGACGTGGGACGTCTGCATCAGGGCTGCCTTGGTCTTGGTGCAAGCGGCCTTTAAATTAGAGTCAGTATTATCATACTTACCTCATTCAAAAATTAAAAATGAGTAAAATCTAAATATTTTTTACATTTGTATACTTATCCTGCATTACTCCTTAATGCATTCACTGCTTACCTTGTGACAAAAAAAAACTGAGACAGCTAACCGGCGATGGTCCTTGGGTGAATGGTTCTGTTCACAATCCCACTTTTATATCCCGCCGTCGCTGTCCCTGTGACCTCACGTGACCAAAGGTCAACTCTTCACATCACTGCCTGTCGCCCGAGCTTAAAAAACATACTTTTGAGGTTTCTGAAGCCAAAGTGGGGAGGCAAGTCTGCGACGGGTGGGCCTTAAACGTAGTAATGCAGGATAAGTATACAAATGTAAAAAATATTTAGATTTTACTAAATTTTTTACTTATCCTGCATTACTCCTTAATGCATCTGTATCGGACGGTATGGAGGTGGGAAAACCTCACAATACAGAAACCTCAATAATTCACACCCTGACAACCTGACACAGATTAGTCAGTAAACCGTTAAGCGGAAAAGTTGAGAAAAACGCTAATACGGTAGGGTATTACAATGTGGCAAACAATTGCACATGGGAATTAAAGAATAGTTCCCTATACATTTTAGTAATAAAGACAACTAGCTGCTCAGCCAAATCTTTACTTACTATATGATTATAGCCCTGATGACAATAACTTGTCTTCCCTTGGCGAATTCTGATCAATTACACCGAACAGGAAAAGGCTCTGTATAGGGTGTGTATATTATTTGCGTCGAGGGTTGGTAACTTGCTGAGCTACAACCAACGGCCCCAAACTCCGTACACCTTCAATGTCCTCGAGAGTCACATCGCGAAGATAATGACTAGCGAAAACTGTGTCAGACCTCCAAAAACATCCTTCCATGATTGTCTTGATAGTACAATTGCTGTGTAAGGCCATGGTAGAGGCTAATGCCCTGATCTCATGAGGATTATTCGTTCTTCAGGGATGTGAGCAGGTTTTCCCGAAAAAAAGAGGAAAAGTCTAGGGGGGTCTGGGGGCATGCCCCACCCGAATTTTTTTAAACATTTGATTGCATTTTAAGCAATTTCGTGCAGTTTGGAAAACATTCACACCAAGAAATGTAATAAGTCAATGGAGAAAGTCAATAAGTCAAATAAACAAGATGGCAGATGCAGTAAAGTTTCGAAGTTGAATCAGTACTTTTATAAAATCGGGCATAGCTTTCGTGCACCTGGCTACCCGCCAGGTCTGGGAGCAGTACTGCCATAAACTTCAACCCCCATCCCCCAGACACAAGGACAACTGTCACAAGCGTGCAATGTCTGACCCTTTCCCCATGTTGAAGCATATTGAAAAAAAACTTACCTTGTACTTACCTTTTGACGAAAAAAACAAAACTCCATTGCAAACATAAGACATTAATACAACATATATCCCCATGTTATGGGGTTTTGGACGCTGAAGAAACATTCATAGTTTTCTCGCTAATCACATGAACAACTGTAAAACATCTCATTCACTTACAGGCTAAAAGACAACTTTATCTTAAAAACAAGCCATCAGCTGACTCTGAGTATTTACAATTTCTGTGTGACGCCACACCCCACGTTATAGTGCAAGTATTCATGATAGAAAATGTATGATGTCCGAAAACCTATGCTGGTGAAAGCTCTGATCGAAAACAGGACAATCCGCGATGCTTGTCCGGTTTTCGATCATATCTTTCGGAGTGTTTTTTTCCGAAATTTTTATTTAAGTTTTACGCGGAAGATGATTTTTTCCGAGGACTACTGTTTTAAAAAACGCGATTTTCCGCGTTTCCGCAGAGATTTCACATCCCTGGTTCTTGGTGGATCCAAATTGGCGATCGAATAGGCCTGAAGGATGACTGCGCGTAACCATAAGGATATGGTGTTGCGACTGACCTCGGTCGTGGATGTAGCAGATACGGGTATAAATAACCGCTTCCTCGAACCACGCCTAGTCTTGGAACGGCGGATGAAAATTCGCAGTGCCCGTACCGGACATAATAGAAGTTCACCCTCACCCTCACTGCCCACAATCATCGAGATTGGTGGAATGGTGAAGGAACGATCAGGTTGGCCTGGTAATTGATTCTTGGCAATAAAATCCCAGCACAACCCTAGATGTACCGCTCCGTGCGTCCCATGCTCAAAACGAACCCGGGTGATGTCGATTGCATGTAATTCGCTCACCCGTGCCGCTGTGGCTAATGCCAAGAGAAACATTGTTTTCTTGGTGAGGTCATAAAATGAGGATGCATTGAGGGGCTCAAATGGGGGTCCTCGCAAACCTCGAAGTACCACGTTCAGATCCCACGCAGGTGGGCGGAACTTGGTCTTCTGATCCTCAAGCCTGAAAGAGCGTAATAAGGCCTGTAGTTCCGGGATCTTAGTAATCTTACGATTATCCGGAACGGCCAACACTGAGGTGACGCCGTAGTAGGATCTTGACCTTTTGCTTTGCAAAAAGTCTCAAACGATCCCCACTTATCATCGTAAAGGCTTCTAGTAGAGGGACGATGAGCTAAGGTTATAGCTTTTGCTGCCCGAGCCGAATAGCCTTTTGCACTTAATGCCTTTTTAAGACGAACCAACCGTGCAGACGAAATTTGTCTGGTGTTGGATGAGGCAATTTGCTGTGAGGGTGGATCAGTAGGTTGGACCACTGTGGAAGGGGTAGTGGATCGTTTCCTGCTAGCCTCCTGAGCTCGACGAACCACCCTCTCGCTGGCCACCAGGGCGCGACCAAAGTCAGAGCAAGTGTTCTTGTCTCTTGGATCTTTTGTATTACCCTGGGAAGTAGAACTGGTGGCGGAAATGCATACGCCTTTATTCCTTCCCAAGGAATGCTGAATGCGTCCACCGCCCAAGCCTTCGGATCTGGTAACGGGGAGACATATGTCAAAAGTTGGTGGTTTTGGCAAGTTGCAAACAGGTCGATGTTTGGTTGCCCGAACTTCCGAACCAATAATTGGAATGCTTCTGTGTGAAGTTTCCACTCAGTGGGTGCTACCCTGTCTGGGCGTGATAGAGCATCGGCCAGAATGTTTCGACATCCGGGGAAGTGCTGAACTATGAACTGTAGTTGCAGCCGATCCACTAGATGGAAAAATCTGAATGTCTGTTGAAGTAGCGAGTTGGAGTGTGTTGTTCCCTGATTGCGCAGGCACCACACCACAGTGCTGTTGTCTGTGGATATGGAGAGTTGGGTTGATTGTAGTTGATTCTGCCAATGGGATATGGCTAGAATTACGGCTTCCAACTCCAGATTGTTTATGTGCCATTTCCGATGAGCGCTTGACCATAGCCCTGAGACTGTCTGGTCTTGTAGGTGAGCACCCCACCCCTGAAGGGAGGCGTCTGCGAATAGGTGTAGATTCGGGGACAACCCTGATAAAGAGATTCCTCCTAAGACATTCGACTCTATCGTCCACCAACGGAGATAAGGTCTCAAATTCGTTGGTAGCATGATGGCCCTGAGTGGATCCTGACTCCTGATGTAGGGATTCAGGAATTGTTGTATTGGGCGTAACTGTAATCGGCCTCTGTTGGTTAGGTCCTGGGCTGAGGTGAGTAACCCTAGCAACACTTGCCATTGGTGAAGTGTGCGTGGTTGACAAAGAGCAGGTGACAGGAGGCGTAAATTCTTGTGCTATCTGTCCCTGGGTACCGACAGGAGGTTCTGATCTGTTTGAAATAGTCCTCCTATGAACTGGAGTCGAAATGATGGAGTTAACTCCGATTTCGCCTCGTTGACTATCCAACCCAGTTGATATAGTAGTCTTCTGGTGAATTCCCGGTGACATACTAACGTCGGTGTGTGTTGATGACACAGGAGACAGTCGTCTATGTACGACTGGAACCAAATGTTCCTCAGCTGTAGAAACACAGTTATGGGCTTCATTATTCATGTAAATAGCCACGGGGCCACTGAAATGCCAAATGGGAGTACTGCCCACTGGTAGTGGACCCCATTGAACTGGAACCTGAGGAATCTGCGATCTTTGGGATGAATCAGTATGTGCAGATATGCATCCTGTAGATCGATACTGATCAAGGAATCGAACGCTTTTATGCTGGTTCTGAGTAGTCTCAATGTAATGAGGCGGAAATAGGGTGGACGCTTCAGATAGAGCTCGTTGAAAACAGAGAGATTGTGTATCATTCTCATCTTGTCTGAGCCCTTCTTGGGTACCAGGAAGATGTGAGAATAAAATCCCGGAGTTAGCGCTGGGGTGTGTATAATCTCTTCGGCTCTTTTCTCCAATAGTAAGTCTATGTTGGCCTTTAAAAGGACATGTTGCTTCCTTGGATAATTCTCCGGAACGGATGCCGTGGTCAACGGAGGAAAAACCTCTATGTCTAGTTGGTAACCGTGGCGTAGAATGTTGAGAACATAATCGTCCCTGAGGATGCTCCAGTTCTTCCAAAACCGATTCAGTCTCCCGCCTACAGGGGTATCGACAATTGGGACGACTGGGGGTAGGAGATCCCAGTCGTGACTGTCTAACATTTCAATGTTTGCCCCTCCTATCACCTCCCTTACTGTGGTATTTACCACGTCGGGATTGATAAGAACCTTGGGGTTTTCCTCTGCCACGCCCTTTGCCACGAAAAGAATCGTGCACCTGTCCTTCCTTAAGCGACTCACGTCTAGGCCTGTAGTTGCCTGACTTGCCTGATCGCTGGGAAACATTTTGAGAAACATGCTCCAAAGCCTTGAGTGCTGTTTCATCCCTAGCGTAACTGGAAACCTTCGTGTGTGTGTCTGAAATCTGTTTGTTGAACAGAGATGAGGAAGACCAAGGTTGACGTAGCAATCTGCGTTTAAACTCTGAGTCCCAAGTAGATAAGGCTACTAAATAACCCAATCTCCGAGTGACAGTTATTTCTGCCAACGCAGCTTTAAGATGATTGCTCATATGGTTAATCTGACGCTGTTGAAAATCAACTATAGTTTGGAGGTGATC